GGCCAGCGGCCCCGGGGGTGCAGGGCCGGCCCCGGAGGAGCAGCGCCGGCTCCGGGGGAGCAGGGACGGCCCCGGCCCGCAGCGCGCTCCCTCTCTTCAGCGTCCTCGGCGGTTTTCGTTGCACGGGGTCCTTCGGCAAGTGGAAGCAGGGAAATCACAAGTAATGCGATCAATTATTATTTTTATACCGTATTTATGGACGGGTAGAAGTAATAACAGTTATTTGCTTTGTCGAAGCGTTTATTTTACACTTGGTATATTTCCTTACAATCGGAGAACCGACGCGGGAAAAATAAGCACAAATAAAGTAATGAAAATACGTTTTTAGCAAAAGGCGATCCTTCCCCTGTCGAATTTTCCCGGGCGCATTTCTGCCTCCTGACATTAATCCAAACCAACGACAGGGCTAAATAGATCAGTCTCTAGCCCTCAAGTCAAGCAAGAAGCAAAACAGTCATTTACTTCTCTGCCCCCTTCATAAAGAAATACTCCTCCCCCCCTCCTTTTTCCTTCAAATTGGCGATAAAGAACATCAACAAGCAAAGCAGCCAGGAGGGCAGGAACCCTCTCGAGGGTACGGCCCTGGTACCCCGCTCCCCGCCCGGGTCCTGCGGGCTCTCCTTTGCTCCCTCCCAGCCCGGGTTGCGGGGTATCGCCTCCGCTCCTCGGCGCAGGGCCGCGCTCTGCTTTAACCCCTCCTGCCCTGCCTTTGTCCCTTTTGAGGCTTGTTAGCTTCTCTGATTTGTTCGCAGCGCTTCGGCTGCCTCCCCCGACCCCCAGTGCCAGGGGGAGAATGGTGCCAGGGCCGGGGAATTACACGCCGCTCTGGGATTCCGCAGTTGTGGCAATAGCGCTTTCACGTGCACCGATCGCATACTTTGCGTACATCACATACATCAGGGTCACCTCAGTGAGGGGGGACAGGGAAGGGCGGGGGAGACGAGGAGGAGGATTAAAAAAAGATACAGTTCTTCCGCGGATGTCAGGCATTTCAAATAAAATAGTGCTTGATACCAAGGTAACACTTCCTT